CATAACTTGCAGCAAAAATCTTTGACTGTGGAAGAATATACTATGGAGTTTGAACAATTAATGATGAAGTGTGATGTTCGAGAAAAAGAAGAGCAAACCATAGCAAGATATCTTGGAGGATTAGACAATGACATTTCCAAAATAGTTCAACTTCAACAATATTGGACTTTGGATGATGTCATTCGGCTAGCATTGAGGGTTGAAAAGCAAATCTCAAAGAAGAATATTACTATTCCTTCAAAACCACGAGATTTTGAAGCTAGTCAAGGGACCCAAGCCTCAAAGATTGTTGCTGAGACACCTGCCAAAGTTGAGAAGGAAGCTAGTTCAAGCCGTCCAGCCTAGCCTAGCACTCGAAAGTGTTTCAAGTGTCAAGGATTTGGCCACATTGCCTTCGACTGTCCTAATAGGAGAATTATCACCATTATCGGAGGAGAGATTCATGAAGTCTTAGATGGTGAAGCAAAAAAGGAGATTAGTGATGAGATTAAGCCACAACTTGAGGAAGAACTCATTGCAGCTGACCATGGAGAATCTTTGGTTGTGCGTCGAAGTCCTCATGATACCATAACCAAGGATGAAGATTGGCTCCGACGTAACATCTTTCACACCAGATGTACTTCTCGGGAGAAAGTTTGCAACGTCATCATTGACAGTGGAAGTAGTGAGAATGTTGTGTCTAGTTATATGGTTGAGAAGCTAGGACTGCCTGTCAAAGATCTTTCCCATTCATACAAGTTACAATGGCTACGAAAGGGAAACGAGGTAAAAGTAACCAAACGTTGCCTTGTCTCTTTTTCTATTGGTAACAAGTACCAAGACGAAGTATGGTGTGATGTTATCCCCATGGATGCTTGTCACTTGTTACTTGGTCGCCCTTGGCAATTTGACCGAAAGGCTATCCATGACGGCCATGCCAACACCTACTCGTTTGTGAAAGATGGTGTGAAGGTCAAGCTCACTCCCCTGAAGCCTAAAGAAACACTCGAAAAGAAGGATGAGGACAAGGCTTTAATCTCCAGATCAACCTTTCAGAAGTTGCATCAAGAATCGAGGACAGCTTGTCTCTTGCTATTATCTAAAGTGAATGATGCCACTTCCCCTTTCCAGAGGAAATTCAATCTCTCCTTGAAGAATTTTCTAATGTTGTTCCTGATGAGACCCTTCATGGATTACCGCGAACTCAACGAAGCAAGGATTCTATCATGATTGTGCCTACAAGATCAGACTTCCAGGTGACTATGGAGTCTCTGCTACTTTTAATGTTGTTAACTTATCTCCTTACTATGAGGACCATGAGCATTGAACTTAAACTCGAGGACGAGTTTTCTCCAACCAAGGGAGAATGCACCAGGAGAAAGTACCAAGAAATTGCAACAAGCATGCAGAAGCTACTCTGCAACACCACCTACTACAATAGGCCGGTGCAATTTTGTCAAAAGTGGCCACTAAATTCCACAAAGATGGCTAACTCCCAACTACACTTTACTTTTCATTTATTGCCTTTCGTTAGAATTTGCCTATAAATAGCCATGTTATCACCATTGTACGTATCAAGTTTTAATCCAAAATTTCAGTTTATACTTCTCCTCTGTTGAGTGAGTTTCTTGGGAGTGGATTCTCTCAATTCATCTATGTATCTTAGGTCTTGCCAACCTAAGTGGTGAACCTGGCAATCGAATTCATCGTAGTGGGATTCTAAATCTCGCCAAAATCGATGTTTCGGTATCGGCTTCTACGCCAAAAAATACCTGATTTTGCAGCACACTAGGGAAGTTGGCACCAGTCACTAAATGTATAAATATACTACTTATTAGTCCTGTTGAAACAAAGGGGTTTTGTTTGATATTAAAGTCAAATTATTATTAATAATTTAAATTTAAATTTTTAAAAGCACGTGGATTTAATTTGGTCAAAAAAGTTGTTAGGTCGACTTTAGCACTAATTCCCTTATTCATCAAACACTAAACTTTAGTTAAGAATCCCAAGAATACTTCGAAAGAACTATGCAATTAGACTTTTCAATTTGATTACTTGACTAACATTTTCGGATTTTCCTATGTTTTCCATACTCATATAATAGCAGTGCCAGGGTTCATTTGGCTCTATAGAAGAAACAGGCAGCTTACATTTCATTTTTCTTCAAATTGCAACAGTTGACAGGTCATCAATCCCTAATATCGGAGAGCATACGCAGTTGTGTCTCTTATGTCTAGAAGGAAACACGTGAATGGGCATCCCATTACCTCCATTTCTCCTTTCCCACTTTACTCATTTCAGGTGCTGTATTTTTCGATAGGAAAGTGGATTGGAACCCACTCCTTATAAAATAGAGAACACGTACTATACGTTAACAATTCATGAGTTATAAGTTCATGTGTTGTCAATGTTTCTCAACTTAATCCTTTCCGTTTGATAGTTTTAAGGAAATGAGATTTGAGGTTTACAAAGTAGCAGATGACTGAACTACAACCTTGAATTCCACACATGACGGGTTTACTTCTCGGCCATTTTGTGGCAGATAAGGGAGTTTTAGGTTACCTGATTTTGTTGCTCCGGGACCGGATGGATGGTAACCTTAGAAAAGCCTCAATCGGTTCAAATTAAATATCCAAGCAGGATTATCAAATTTATTGAGCACTTTCCCGGTATACTTAGGATATAATCGAACCTGTCTCGTCGAAATGATTCTCTACACTAATTTAATTTTCATAACTGTAAGCTCATTTTTTATTGTGTTATATATATATATAAGTTTTACACATTATATTTATATAAAATTTTAATAATTTAGCTTTTACTTTCAGTAATTAGGATTTATTCATATTTATTAAAAATAATTATTTTTTTTACCCAAAAAGTTATGACAAATGTCAATAATAACTAAATTTAATAAATAGTTTATTAACAATGTAGTTTATTTCAGTTTAGTCTAAAAATAATATTTTTTTTCAAAATGATCTATAAACCATCAATTTTGTTTCAAAATGGTCTACTTTGACAAACATTCTGTTAACTAGACTAACGGAGGGGTGTTAGTATAGACAAGCTGCCTCCTAAACTTTGAAAAATATTAAATATGGTACATATATTTTTATTTTTTATGACATTTTATTTTTGACATTCAAATTTTTTGTCAAATTTAATAATTAACTAAGATAAAATTTCAATTGACATTAACTAAGATTCTAATTTTAATTTACAATAATCAATATTATAATTTAAATTTTATTATTTTTTAAAAAACTTAATACCATAATTAAATTACATATTTTTTCACCAATTTGTATAGAAAAATAAATAATTTTATTTTTTTAACACTAATAATACATGCATGATTTTTTTTTTTTTGAACAAGAAGGAATTTGTAGGGGAAGGGGAGTAGGGCCTGGGATTTGAACCCAGGCCATTATGTCCACCACACCCATTCAAAGAGGGTTGGACATAATACATGCATGATTTTAATTTGGGGATTTATAAAATTGAAATGAATTTTTATTTTTTCAAGTAATTTTAATTATGTACGGGTGCTCAATTAATTAAATTAAATTTTGGAATGGTTTATTTATTAAAAATATTAATATTTAATAATAAATTAAATTTTTTTAGAAATAATAA